CGACCACCTCTCTAGGAAGCCTGTTGCAGTGTTTGACCGCCCTCTTGGTAAAGAAATGCTTCCTAATGTCAAGTGTGAACACATCAAGTCTTGTAGCCCTTTTAAAGAAAAATAGTTGTGCTTTAGATCAGCAGTGAAACTGGGAGTGCTGGCAGGTCCCAAACTACATGCAGTCATCTTGCATAGCATTGTACTGAAAAGGCATGGAGTTTTTACTAGTACACATATATAAATAATCAATCAGCCTCACAGCTGAAGATGCATCAGAAAAACATTCAAGAAGTCCAGTTTTGGACAGCGCTGTCCTATATTAGTGTCACAGCTCCCTGACTTCTAAAGATGTTTGTCTTTGTATTTCACCTTCACACTCTCCTGCCAACTTCTTACATTTGTTGTCAGCATTCATGGCTCAAGATTTTTGGCACAAGGACTGGTTTTTACTATGTCATTTTAAATGCTGTTGAAACTCAGTTTTTATTGTGAAGATGTTTCAACTTTTCTTTTTCTATCATGTTGTAACAAAATTAAATACATCCAAATTCACCAGAATTTGTTTAACATTTAAGATTTTGAAATTTCATTTTAGAATCACGCAGGAACATTCCATGCTTACATAATTTCTCCATTGATATCACACCAATTACAACACAAAACGTTAAGTCTCACTGACCCTCTTGCTGTGCATTACTGACGTGTTATTATGTAATGCAAGAAAAAATTTTTTAGAAGAATGTGTGCAAAAGGAGTCACTTTGAGGAGCAACAGCTTTGCAATAAATCTTGCAAATCTTTCGGTGTATCAGTACTTCCCAATGCAAAAAAAAATAAAAAAATTAATCAAAGTAATGAAGCAGCTTAAGTCTATAGCTGCCTATGGAATAAACAGGTCTGAGCCTGTCTCACACCTCCCTGTCGTCCCAGGAAGCTCAGGTAATTCCCAGCCTCAGCTCAGTGCACAGAGCCCAGGATGAAGGCCTTCCACCCAGTTCCTCTACCACCTTTAAAACGTACCTGCTGAATTCTGAGGTGCTGGAGCATGTCCAGAGAAGTGCAATGAAGCTGGTGAGGGTCTAGAGCACAAGTCTTATGAGAAGTGGCTGAGGGAACTGGGGTTGTTTAGCCTGGAGAAAGAGGCTGAGGGAAGACCTTATGGCTCTCTACAACTACCTGAAAGGAGGTTGTAGTGAGATGGGGGTCGGTCTCTTCTCCCAAGTAACAAGCTATAGGACAAGAGGAAATGGCTTCAAGTTGTGCCAGGGGAGGTTTAGACTGGATATGAGGAAAAATTTCTTCACCGAGGGGGTTACCGAGCATTGGAACAGGCTGCCCTGGGAAACGGTGGAGTCACCATCCCTGGAGGTATTCAAAAGACAGGTAGACACGGCACTTAGGGACATGGTTTAGTGGTGGTCTTGGCAGTGTTAGGTTAATGGTTGGACTTGATGATCTTAAAGGTCTTTTCCAACCTAAATGATTCTATTATTCTATGATTTTATCTTCTGACTGTAACTCTCAGTCCAAGCCTGAAATGGACAACAGACAAGAAAAGTTCATCTGTTTCTCTACCTGTCCTTGGTGTGAAGTCTACAAACTGCACCTGTAGTTGCTGTGGTGCTGCCACTGCGTGTACCTGGCAGCCAGCACCACACTGCTGGAAATCTGTCCTTGGCTCATTTTTCCTTGCTTCAAACCCAAATTAAACCTTTCTCATCAGAGGGCCAAATCCTGCCAGTGGGTATGACGAGTAACTTGATCCTTAAGACTGGATCCCTGCTGAGGAACACACTGCTCTGGACTCCTGCCACTGGAAAAACATGATCTGTGCACACTAAGTGCTGGCAGGATCAGGCCCACACTTCCTGGGTTTGGCTGAATGATGTGCAAGCGAGATTTTAGGGTGATTTCAAAAGCAAATGAGAAAACCTTTTCAGTCTGTGTAGCACAGCCTCGTTCTTACCGTGAATGTCATGTCTCCCACGCTGTGCACAGAAGTACCTTTGTATTATGTCCCAAGACAAAAGCAACAACAGAACAAATTTCACCTCAGAGACCTGTTTCCTTTTTTTTTTTCCTATTCCTTACTGTCATCACCAGAAGTTGATGAAAAGTTTTTTTATACTGCAGTAATATTTACTGCTTATTGGTGGTATTGCTAGCTGTGACCATTCCCACATATACCTCCACTTCGAGGGGATGCTCCTCTGTGAGGCCTGACACTAACCTTTAATGGTGCCACCAAGAAGGACACTTATGGGTGAAAACACAGGAAAACAACAGATTTAAGTAGTAATTACTTTAACCCAGTTTCTTCCAGCCTAAAATACAACAGTGGCCCCTGTGTCTAGAGGGGAATGACACAGATGCCACTACAATCCTCTGCATCTTTTCCCCTGTTGCCATGTTTGTACTATTAAAAAAAAATTCCTACACGCTAAGTTGGGCATTGATTTGTATTAAGGATCTCCTTGGTATCTTACAGCTTTTTAATCAGGTAACAGAGAAGACAATACCCTACCTCCTTCAGAGTGAACCCACAGGCAGGTTAGGTGAAGGAGACATCTGAGAACCACTGACTCTAAAAGCACCAAACTTCACTCCTTCTCTGAAATAACAGGCTCACCAAACCATCTGAGAGTAGACACAGACTTGGGAATCTTTTCACTGGGGCCAGTCTTCAAGAACAAGCAGAAGTCCAATGCAGGGCTATGTGCTCTAGTGGGAAAACCAGATGTTTAACTTCCTCTGTGCCTGTTAAACCCACATTTTACTCCAGCTTTCTAAGAATTGAAGATGTTTTGGTGCCAAGAAGCAGGTATTTCCTCCTGGGCCTTTTAACATAGGTATCTTCTCATGCTGAGCATCGAACCAGTTCAGCCTGGTCATACAATGCTGCTGTGACATGATCTCCAGCCTGCACTGGAGAAACATCTGCACTGGAAACGTCATGCTTCCTATGTCCACGCTTGGTCTTAGAGAAAAATTAGCTCAGCTGTAGTCCAAAGGAGCCCTTTTATGGCCAAGATATGCTTTGGCAGCCTGCCAGCAGTGCTCTTCTAAAGCCATCCAGCAAAGTGACACCATCAGTTATAAGATCTATGTGTGTCAGGTCACTGGGTTATAAAACAGAAGTGTCATAAGCATGTAAGGACATGGTTTGGGCTCTGCTGTGAACGAAGATCAAATTATTTTTGCAGAATCAGATTACTATCTTGGGATATATTCCAGTGGGAAAGGGTCACTGCATTGTAATAGCATTTCTACTGGGAAATTAGTTCCAGTATTCAGGATTGTTAAAAAACCCTGAAATAGATAAAGATGCAAATTGATGGGATGCTACTATTACACTGCAGCTAGATCAACAGTGAGGTACTGTGTGCCTGGGTGGAAAAATCCAGCTTAGACTGTACACTGCTCTGTGTTGGGACTACAGTAAAAAAAAGAAGTCACTCTT